CCATTTTGCAACACATCTTTTACACACTAGATGGCACCAAGCCTACAGAAATATGCACTCATGCTGGGAATTAACTAGTGCTACACAGCAAAGAGGAAGTCAAGACACAAAAACAAGATGTAAATTGAACAACTTTTATTTTAATAAAAAACACCAATTATTTATCCCAGGACACCTGCTGCACCTATTTGAAGGAGGAAGATACATAAACATTAGAAACCACATTTATGCATATAGAACAGCAAGATATGATGAAGTACTCACCTGCTACTTTCCCATAAATGAAGGGATCCTGATCCATTTGGCCTCTGGATGAACACTCTGTACCCGTGGCTTGTAAGCTGCAGGCGGCTGCTGGGGGGCCACGCTGGCCTGCTGCTGAGCAGAGGGCCGCTGGGGGGCCACGCTGGCCTGCTGCTCAGCAGAGGGCCGCTGGGGGGCCACGCTGGCCTGCTGCTCAGCAGAGGGCCGCTGGGGGGCCACGCTGGCCTGCTGCGGGTTCCCGACACTCACTTCCTTCTGGTCAGCAGGTTCTGTCAGCCGTATGATAGCGTAGCCACCAAAGCACTTAGGGATGTGGTGGATTCTGGTCGGGGCGAAGCTCTGACCAGAGGTCCCCACAATCCTGGTTCCGGAGGCAGAGAGGTTACGAGATCCCTGCGCCGGGTTTCTGTTGTTCCAGGATGTTTGGAGAGAACTCGTACTGCTGAGGACTTGCTCGGTGGAGGTGTAGCTTGTGAGAGTCTTTCCACTGCTTGGGTGGAAGCCAGCAGGAGCACTGCGTTTGTTCGACACTGGAAGAGACTGATTATAACTTTGGTGGCTTGAGGCCATGTGGGACGCTGAAGCAGGCTTGTAGGTTCCTTGTGCATTTCCTGCATTCACAGGAACCGGTTTGCTTGGGTATTGGTTCCCAGCCTCAGTCTGGCTGGGGTTATTTCTAGTTATCTTATTTTGGAGAGACGGGAAATAGGAAGGTTTAGATGCGACAGAGCTACGACGTGAATACACTCTTCTAGCAGGGGCACTGGCTGATGTTCTCGTCCGGGCAGGGATTCTGTGTGGCCCAGCATCACCTGTGCTAGACAGGCTGGAAGCTTTCTGTGCTGCTGACTGATGGGAGGCAGGTTTGAAGGAGTAACTTTCCCGAAGACTCTGAATAGATTCAGAACTGCTCAACCGATAGTTGCTAGTACTTGATGTACTCTGCTGAACTGGCCAAGTTCTCTTTCTGCGAAGCAGAGCTGGATCGTACTTACTGATTGAACTACCACTAGCAATATTGGTAGAAAGGCCAAAGTCATTTGGCCTCTTCTGCACATTTTCATGACTCAACCTAGTCTTTGGCCAGTTAGGTTTTGACTTCGAGCTGCTCGGCATAAACCTGACTGAAGCATAGCCCCTTCTAGCTGCCTCTGAAACACCTTGTGTGTAGGCACTAATGGGAAATCTCTGGCTATAACCACTGCTAACTTCAGTGCTGAAGCTGCTGCTCTGGGCTGAGCCACGAGAACCAGAGGCCTGTCTGAGTTGATTCTGGGGATCGCTGCCACCAAATCCACTACCCTGTTGCGAGAAGCCAACATTTGTGTTGCCGTTTCGTCCCTGAGCTGCAAGAGAAACAAAGAGTATAAATCCACAGCTTGTAAATCACACCAATATATGACAGCGACATTTGTGTGTTGCTCACCTTGTGTAGCCCACAAACAAAGTACATGCTCTGCTTGAATTAAGCAAATCAGCAAGATCCTGCACAGAAAACACAACATCCAGTCAGAAATGGTACAGCAACTCCACAAATACTAAAGATAGCTTAAAAGACTTACCCCAAATTAACTCCATAAGCCATTTCTGTGTTCAAAAACAAGCAATCTGGTCAAAGAAACAGTAGCCCAACTGCCCTGAAGCTGCTTCCCCTTTGTGTGCAGCACAAAGCATCTATTGCAACCTGCATTCAATTGCTCCCTAATTAACAGGTGCCTGCTGTTGTGCTTTCAGGGTGACTTTCAGAAAAGAGTGCTGCTGTTTATCTTATTTCCTGTCACCTCTGTGTTTTCAAATCATGTGTTCACATAGAAAGAACAGTAGGGTAAAAGCTTTAGTTTGCTACAAAGAGCTTTTTCACACACATATAATGAGAGTCAACATCTCTTGCCCACTTTGTTACTCTGAGATTTCTCCTGTCTGCATCAAGCCTGACCTTGAGAAACATCGTATTAGTCTTGACGGGCCTTGTTAACATTATTAATGATGACTCCTGTACCCTCTGACGCTGAACAGACCCAGGCGGCACACTGCAGTAATGATGCAGTCGACCCTAACTGTGACAAACAACACATCAAGATCAGCGTGCTTCCTCCTTCTGTTTGCAGACTATAAATCACACACTGTAAAACCAGCGCCACAATCTCCACATCATACATTCTCCTTTCATTTGAATTATGTTTAATTAAACAACTGTGAGGAAGCATAAGCAAAAATGCACAATGTCATACTCCTAAGTGAGTGCGATATCATCAGCTTCCTGTGTTTATTTGACTGATCTGTGACCATGTGGGATGCTCCACATGAAAATGACCCCTTACATTGTCAGTGTAGGTGACTGACACACACATACACACACACACACACACACACACACACACACACTCCCTGGTAGTCTGGCAGGTGTGAATCTTCTTTCCAGACTGTGCTCGGTCAATAATGTTCATTAATGACACTCCCCTGCTGCCAGGAGAAGCATGATGCAAGTGCACGACAAGTGGACGACAAAAGAATCAGTCACTGTGTCCTACTTTCCAAAGAACTGTATCGGCCTTCATCAGGTATCCTTCTTGAACCCACCTTTATTAAAAAGGTACAATCTTCGTTTTCATCTTTTAGGCACTTGAGTGTTCCACATTCACATGGGCGTCCTGTGTGAGTCACAGCGGCCGTAGCAAATTTCCTCTTCCCCGCCGTGGGAAGGAGTGACACCTCGCATGCGATGACCAGATGAGTGTGGTGGCTTAGATCAAAGACACAATTTCCTGTCAGAGGAAATAGCGCCAGAGGATTGTTTTTCAGGAACAGTTTCCTCCCTTGTGAATTCTTTCCATTACGCTTATCAACATTCGTATGAGCAAGACGTAAAAGCAAGTGAAAGTCCTCCATTGGAATCAGCAGAAACATTCCGGATAACACAGGCATTAAAAAAGACAAACGCACACAAAAAACGGAAGGGTAACATATATCAAACGACAAATCTATTCATCAAAATAGGTGACTCTTTTCTCCTTGTGGATGATCTCTCTCATTTAAATTCAAAATCTGCTTCATGTCTCACAAGTGCAGTTTCTGCCAAAATGTTGCTCTCCACGGAACAGATTGTTGCTCACTGTTCGATCTGCACAGACCCCTGACCCGTGGCACAAGTAGAAGAAACGCTCATTTGAGGAGCTTCGCTCCTGTAAAGGCTTCCTACACGGTAAGATATATGTGTAGCCACAAAAGGACTGTGATGGAGGAGAGGGCAAACGCAGCATCGTCATCTAATATATGTGCCGAGCTGTGCAGGACGCGGGGACATTCATGAGTAGGGTCAGTAACACAGCTGGAAACCACGTCTACGCTGAGCCTCTTGAATCTAAAAACACATGTGTTTCTCCGTCCACACCAAGCCTATAATTCTTTACTGCGGTATCATTTGAAAAGCAGCAATATGTCTGTGATATTCTACCACATTCTATATTAGTGCATTTAGTGCAAGACTCATTCCATCAGGATGCACCACAGAGTGCCACAGGAAGTCATTCCTGCCTTTTGGCCATCACACTCTTCAACTCCTCCCTCACGGTGTCAGACACCATGAGTCAGTAGACCGGCCTTGTCAGCAGCTACAACCACACAATTTATTTATTCATATCTAAACTGTGCAATACTGACTTAACTGTACAATAACTCGTGCAATAATTCACCTCTGAAATAATTTGATTTATTCTGGCATTATTTATACTGCACATTATAAGTAATATTCTTATTTATACTATTGCTGTATTTTGAACACCTTATCATAGATCCCATTTTTCTGAATAAATATAATTTACATTAATTCTTGATATTGTTTTCTATAGGATTATATTTATTGTAGTACAATGCACACATTTTTACATAATTATTTGTCATTTTTCTGTTTGTATACTGTATATTTTCATTCTAAAATGGAACAATTGTAACATAAATCAATTTCTTAGCCGGGATCAAAAACGTTTTTTCTGATTCTGATTCCCTCTGTGGCGCCCATTCATTCCTACTGGACGTACATTTTTGAAAACTGGTCACAACTATATTGATCCTTTTCAAAAGGCCTGAGTAATTTCCTAAAACATGGAAATGCTACTCAAACTATTCTTCAGCTGCAGATTAATACACATTTGGTTCTCTAGTGTGTAATTGGGGCAGCAGGACGTGTATGTGGGATTCAGTCAAAAGTGTGTGTGTGTGTTGATGGTGATGAAGGAAGATGTCATCTGGCGATAGCAATGTGCTCTCCTACAATGTGACAAGAGTGTCAATGAAGCATTACGTAGTAAAATTTGACTCATTTTACTCTCAGAAATTGAGCGCACATGTGAGAAGTTTGCCTCTGCCATGAATCTCCTTTGGGTTAGGCAGCAAACCCTGTGAGCAACATGAGCCCAACAGTCGAGGCAAGAAGTACTAGTAAATGACAGCACAGTAGGGCGGGACGAGGCAGAACTCTATTGGTGGGGAAAAAATAGCACCTCTTGAAACAATAATGATGAGAGCAGTGAGAATGAACCAAACAGTAAAGCTGCAGGTCGTAAAAAACAAAACAATGAGCTGAAAGATGCTGAAAAGCAGATTAGAGCCGAGCAGAACTGTGTGCCAGGTGATCGTTTTCAGTGGTTTTATCACTATGAGTGACACCGTTCACTTTACACATAGAAATATTGATTATAGCAGCTTAAATTCATTTGTGAGTGTAAAACATAATCTATAATCTTTAGGAAACTTGGTTCCTGAAAACTTAAATTTTCAAAAACACTTATAAGGCAGTTCCCAAAGAACGACCTACTGTACTCCATCCATTCTGTATTAAGAGGCTATAGGTTTCTTAAATACTTTGATTGAAAACAATTTACCTAACATTACAATGATCGAATTACTGGTTTCCAGTTGTTTATCATTTTGTTTTCAAGGACCTACATTATATCATATATCTGATGCTGATACTACAGTGAGAGATTTATAATTATCTTTATCATGAAAGACATGGAATTATATAACCCTATAAGGGCATGTCCTCATCAGCATCATCCTCTGAAAGTCCTTAATGTAGCAAAATGCTGTGAAATCAGAAAAAGACCATCAGCAGATGGCGTCTCCAATCTACCCTTTGGCCTCCGAACCGTTCTTCTCCTTCTGACCAATCAGGTGCCTCAGATCCCTGTCGGGTGTGCTGGGCCCCCTCCCGCTCTGGCATCTGGTCCAGCATTTGAAATAATGAAGGTAATAATAATGAGCTTAAGTCTCCGCCCTCCAGGAAGGCGAGAGGTCAAACTACCTATGGAGAGTTCACACCCAACACATTCCACGAGCAGCTCGAGGATCCATTATCAGGGAGGCTGCTCTCTTTGCAACCTCAGTTTCGACTAACATTGATCTGAAGCTGAAAGACATTATCAAGTCTTTTGATGTAGTTTTGGTCGTTGTTTCTATTGGTTATGATCATAGCTCTCATCAAGGCGATTGCTGATATCTGGGAACACGCCTACATCACTAAAGTAGACTTAGAAATGTCCTTTTTTAAAGCTACATTATTATTATTATGTTCTATTTTGTCCCACTTGAAAGCAGAATAAGCTGAAAACTTACCAGCATGTTACAGCAAACTATTGCCTGTTAATAAATCCAGCAGACACGGAGCAACATTAGTATTTAAAGCCTCTGTAACTGTGTTTCTGGGTACCGGCATATGTAAGTCAAAATTGACTCTCGTTTTAGCTCTGGTTTGGTCTCCACCATAGACTGTATTTAAGAAGTGGACATAGTCACTGTGATGTCACACATTGGTTTGTGGATGGCAGTTTTGAAGCTTTAAGTTTGACAATGTGGACATTTTGGGGTTTTTGACCTTCGTCATCTAGGTTTTTTACAATTGAAAGAGTCGAGAGAGGGTGGAGCTAATTACAACTGAACGCTGAATAAGGCATTTTAAGGCGACCAAAAAGGTTACAATTGACCTTCGTGAACTGAAAACACACTGTGAAAGGGTTAAAGTTGTAAGACGAACACACGGACAACTCCCAGACGGGACATCACGGTGGTAGTGGCCTGTCAACTACAAGGTAGCCCCGCCCTAATGTATAGTGGTATACTGTATTTTGTTTCTATTTAGAAGCACTTTAGTGATCCCTCATTTGGGGAAATTCCATGTTTACACTCTGTTGTTGTTGTTATTTACTACACACACATCAGGCCGGAAATACGCACACATATTGTAGTTGCCCGGCTCACAGCAAAAAAGCCAATCATTGAACGCATTGATGCACAGACAAGATGATAAAGCAGTGCAGGAGTCGTGAGTGTATTGTCCTTCTTTAAAACGGGTCAAGGCCATTTGTAATCAACCAGCTCCACAGATGTTATTCCTTTTCTCTGAGAGGAGAAGAGGGACTATTTAATGAATCATAGTGGGGCTTCTTCCTCTGGTATGACAAATCAATGGCAGGGCTTGATTACGTTCGCTCGCAATGGGAGCAATTCATCTTTATACTTTTCTGTGCAGCAGAGAATTGTTACCTTTTCTTTCCGTTTCAGCACATGAAGTAAACCTCAGCTTCAGAGTTTGAGAGAATGAGGCGGGATGGCTCACAGGGGAAAATTGTCTCTCTAATTGGAAACTCCCGAGCCTCCCTCTCCTATAAACAACTACAGCAACAACAAAACAAAACTTCTGACAAGCCACAGGGATTGAGAGACTGTTTCTTGGACAGCGGAGCCCACAACAAGGCTTCAGGACACTGAAGGGGGGGGGTCACGGGGGAGGTGGGTTTGGGGGGGGCTATATAGCCTGGCAGAGCCGTGCTGTTGCTCCGTTTACAATTGTACGTTACAGTTGTAGTCAACTTGGAGATCAATGGGGAAACAGTCCTGAAGACTTCAGAGGAACGCTGCATTGTTGCGGCGGCGAGTTTTACACGAGTCTTTCATTCCTATGAGACAGGACTTTGTTGGGAGCATTTGTTTCTCATTTTCCGCTGGTCTCCATTGCGGTTAAAAGCACCAAGATGTTTTTGTTTAAATTACAAGAGCATAAAGAATCCCATTTTGACATGTGAACACATACAAGTTGTTCAAACTCTGTGGTGAATATACCCAAGTGGGACTGATAGATTATACAATTAAATGCAAATCAGAACCATTTGCATTGTGAGTTTTACTAAAGTTGAGTTTAAATTTGATTTCCCTTCACATTTTTTAAAGGAAATTCAAACTACGATTGCTGTTGTGCAGATTTTTGGACTTGTGGAAGCACCCGTCTTAGTGGACAGCAGGAGAAGTGCTGTCAACTTTGTAGACAGTTCAAAGATTCAGTTACCGATGTTCGTTTGCTTTGTTTCTAAGCTAAGCAACCATTCAAATGCACTTTGGTACATACAGGAGTAAGTGAAAGCTACATTGTCCATACCGCCGTGTTGTTTGGTGCTGATTCTGACTGTCTTCAGGTCATAACCAGCCTGAAAAATAGTAAAATACTAGATGATTGCATGAGAGTCTATGGAGCAGCAGAGCTGGCCGATGCTACGCTGTGATTAGCGTGGGGTTATGGTCAATTACTTAATATCCTTTAGGACACCGGGGAGCTGATTTCTCAAAAAATTGAGTTATAGATAGATAGTGATGCCAGAAAGCAGAGAGAAACTATCTCAATACAATTTTAACGAATACCATGTTCCAGGTATGTGCGTGTGCCGTTAGCTCCAGCCTTTATGAAAGAGACAAATGGGGGACCAGTTGGCTTTAATGGATAGTTGGGCCAGCTGAACCAACTCCTCCTCGCTTGCATCCTCTGGCAAACACAATTAGCCGAACAATGGGTAATACCCCGCTGGAACCACTTCCGTGGTTGAGTCACCACCTCCACCGACCACACTGGTTAGTCATGATGGATGGGCAACGTATAGGAAGCTGGCCGAATGAATTCATTGATCCCCAGATGAGTTGATTCTTAAAAGGAGAAGACAGATATGGGAGACTAGTCTTTGTTTTACAGTCCTGCGCATGGCTTGGTTTTAAAAGTGGGAACCCAAACGTAAAGCAGAATGTGTCAGATGACTGTGTAGTGAAGACAAATGTAAGTGATGACATGTGTCCTTTAGTTGAGGGAGAGACAGCTGTATTTGTCGTACCATGCCAGCGGAGGGGAGTAGATGCCAATTTATCTCTGTCGTCATGCTGCTGACTGTTGTGGTCTCTTTTTTTTTTAACATGTTCAATTCCTCACAGATGTGGTTGTTCACTTTTAAGGCATATTCCCTATCATGGCCATTAAACCCATGTAATGGCGCCAAGATGTTCCCGGAGACAGGAGGCGTATGAAATAAAAAGCCTGCTGTGCTCCAGTGGGACATTCTCAACACTGAAAAAAAAGAAATACTTCAAATATGCATTTTGTCTTTTGCAATAGCAAAAACCACATGCTGCACATACAGCAACATGAAGCTGCACACGTTTTTAAAACTGGTTTCCTTGAAAGAAACCTCAGACATAGCAAGCAAAGTAAGAAATAAAGTCGTGATCTTTTAATCTGACGTGCGCAACGTACAGTCTGAAAGAACACTATAATTGGAGCAACTTCTTTCTGTTTTTAACAAGCCTCCCTTTTGCACTGGGAGTAATGGAGAACGTCTGGATGTATTTGTAGGGTTCCTCTCTTTTCATTGCCTTCCTGCTGAGACAATCTAGCGCAGCCTATAGCAAACAGACCATATATCTTTCAAACAGCCAGACTCATAAAAAGACAGGAAAGGCACTGGTCCTAATCCACACTTTAATGAGTGAAAATGGAAGTAATGACATCCAGGGAGTAATCTTTCTCCTCTCTGCGTCGCCAATTGACACCAATGACCCGTGGCTGGCCTAATGCCCCGGTTGTGACACGTTGTGTTGTAGGGAAGACAAACTTCTCCTGGGATTTTCTCCCACAGGCAATTATTAAGAACGATGACGCTTTAACAATGGCTGGATCAGAGCGCTCAACTTTGTCATCGTGAGTGAATCCTATTATGCGGCGGCATAATGGCTGTCTGTGAAAACAGAAAGAGGATGGGTATCACAAGGCATCTTTCACAGCGCTGGGAAACAAAGCTTATTTGAGGCGTCTCGACATCCGAGCCGCCCTTTGTGTCAGCGTACGAGCCTCAATTGTTTTCTCCTCTGCGAGTAAATGGCTGACTTAATGTGGTTCAGCAGCTCAGAGAAATGATAGCCAGAGTTAAATATTATGAATACGTTGATTACATTTGGGCTAAATGAGTGTACAGACATCGTGACTTTATACAGCTTTATTTTGTCATCACACATGCAGTAAAATGTCTCCATGTTATAAACATTTCTGGATCGATATCAGAGGAGTTTGGAGAACATCTTGATAGGCTGAAGATGCTACTTTGGCTTTGAACTTTGGGAGGTTAACTTCAGGCCTCCTTTCTCCCGGTTCCACATACTCTAGAGAGCTAGCAATTTGGGCAATGAACACTTTGAGGAATGGCAGCTTGTCATCCCCTCTGTCTCACTTCGTAGCATCATAAGGCCACAGAGAATTGCTTTTGTCATGTAGCCATTTAGAAAAAAACAAGGACGACACGTGACATTTTTAAAAAGAGGAGTATCATGCTTTGTTCGGGATTCATGCAGATTATAAATTGATTGACTTTAAACATGCATGTAAAGTGTAAGGCTTTGGATTTGACCAAACAAATACATTTACTGACATACACCTCTGGATTTCTGTGTTACTCTGAAGAACTGCTCTCAGAAAACAAATTTTAAACAGATGTTTTTCTTGGCATAACCCCCGAAAAGCATAGAAGGCGGAAAAAAACCCCAAAAGGTTAAGAACATCTTCTTTCTTTCTTTTCATGAGGCTTACTTCTTAACCGGTCAGAGGAACTGCTGAATGAAACAATGTAGCTGGTGTTTCAGAATCATCTGTCTCTTATCATTGGTGAAAAAAATCCCCTAAACAGAAAAACGTGGAGAGCCAGACTTCTTTCAAAGAGCCTCCGAGAGCGGCTGTTGTCTTTAAGGAGGGAGGGAGGGGAGATTGCTTTCAGCGGCCTCAGCCCAGGACTGGTTCTCATCATTTTGACAATAAAACTCAAGCAGTTGAAACAAAGCAACGGTTCACGAAAAAAAGAGAGAAAAAAAAATGAGGGAGATTCCCGCGGGTCTGCCCTAAATTGCCCCCCCCCCCCCCCAAATCCAACAGCCAAAAAAAGAGGAGCAGAGCGGAGATTTTAGGAAAGCTTTGGAGGTTTAATTCCTCTGTGGCACCCTGGGGTTGAAGGGCGCAGGGACCAAAGGCTTTGAAATAGTTCAAAGATGAATGAGTGGTTGTGCTTTAAATTCTCAGAGGTTTGTTGTTGTAGTGTCAGGGTTTTATTGCAGCATTTTGTTGCTTTTGTTTTTTTACAAGCTAAATGAAACACGGAGTAATGAGTGATTCAGATCACTCTGATAAGGAAACAACACCTAGATGACTTCAGGCACTTTGCTGTTGCTTTTATGTGAACGTGAGGAGCAGGCGTGAAAATAAAGAAATGTCAATCAATGAACTCCCTGTACAACATTCATGTCTATTTGACTCTCAAACAAACTGAGATGTTCTGTTAAAAGACCGCGTTACTTGTGTAATGAGTGCATGCTTTATTAAACAACAAGGCTGAAAGATTATTAACACTATGATATGTATATATTTACAGACAAATCTGTACACTTTTTACATTTGTTGCCACTGATAAAAGCATTAGAAAAGAGTCATGAGAAAGTACACCAGAGGTGCTCGTCCTCTCACACGTCAGCGCTCGAGGAGACCTGCGATAACCTGGGGTCAGAGTCGATCTCGAAGCGGTAGTGGTGGCCCTCCCACAACTCCCTGCCGGCGTCCCGCATCTCGTAGATGCGCTTCTTGATGCCCTTGCGGTTGAGATAAAGCACAAAGAGGAAGACGAGGCCTATGAAGCCCAGGACTATGCCCAGGAAGACGTAAGAGGTCTGCAGAACAAGGTCAGCCCCGGCACCCCACTGGTGGCATCCCAGAGTCAACGACACCACAGCCAGCATGGATGTGTTCCTCATGCTGGCGGGAAAAGCACACACAAGGCCCTCGGCGTCACCGATGCGTCCCTGTGATCTGTTGAGCCACAGAGCAAAAGGTTCGATTCCACACGAACACGTGAAGGGGTTTTCCCCCAGCAGGAGATCAGCGCTGGGCAGGGAGTCCAGCTCTCGCAGACCCTCCTCGGGCACCATCTTGAGGGCGTTGAGGGTCAGGTCGAGCTCCTCCAGGCGCTCCAAGCCCAAGAAGGTGGAGTTGTGGATGGCCACTAGGGAGTTGTTGGAGAGCTGGAGCCGCCGCAGGCTGCTCAGGTGGGAGAAGATACGCGAGGGTAGATAGATGAGGCCGTTGTGAGAAAGGTCCAGTCCCTTCAGGGTCCCCAGGGAGCTCCAGCGGAGGGACGTGGCCAAGTCCATCACCGACAAGTGGTTGTAGAGGGCTCGGCTCAGGTTCAGCTCCCGCAGAGACTGGTTCTGCACGGTGAAGGCCTCGGGGTGAACGACTGCCAGCTGGTTGCTGCTCAGATCCAGGGAGCGGAGGCTGCGGAGGCCGGCAAAGGTGTGGGATTCCACCTCGGAAATTCTAGATTTGAGGAGATCCATGAGACATCATTCACACTTTCATATCGCACAGAAGAGCAAGGAAATGGACTAATTAAGTCTTGGATCAAAGCTTAACTTTTGTTTTTTTTATTTTAAATCAATTGAATACACTTTGAAAGTCTGCAACTCTGCTGTTTCAAGTGTCATGCATCCAACATGATGAACTCTGCAAAGCTGCTATATTTCAGCAACTATGAGGATCAACTGATCACCTAAATATTATTTTGCATTTGAAACAAACTGTTCTATCTTATAAGAATAATTTGTTTTGGATTCCCCAAGTTTAACGACCAAAGTCCCCATCAGGAGAGTCTTACCTGTTGTTGCTCAGAGACAGGTTGGTCACATTATCCAGCCCTTTAAACGACTCCGGACCGATTCGGCTGATTTGATTCCCGGTTATGAACAGATTCCGGGTGTATCCGGGGATACCGGTCGGGATACTCCGCAGGTCTCTGGAGACGCACTTCACTGTGTGAGCCGCCTCCGAGCACTCGCAGCGCGGAGGGCACGACGCGTAAACGGAGCCGAGCAGCGCGCAGAAAACAATGCGCTGCGCCAAATCCAGCATGTTGGGAGGGAAACGTGTGCGGGTCCGAAGTGCGGCGAGCAAGAACGAAGGAGAAAACGCGCGGAAAAAAAACGGATAAAATGTAACGATCAGATCCTCCAAGACAGCATTATCCTCCGTTGTCCCGGCCGGGAATGCGCTTCAACTTTGCATCTCTGCAGAAAGTGTGGCCGGGAGGCTGGGTCTGATTTCCATGAGAACAAAACTGGGGGTCACGCTGATCAGAGGGGCTGTTTGATCCTTTGCCGTGGCAAAGCGGGGCGTCGCTTCTCCTCCAACAATGAAGTTAAAAGGACCATCGCCTGGTGCGATGATATGCGGGGAGGGGCTTGTCTCCTGCCTGCTCCCTGTCCGGATCCACGAGATGTTCCTTCTCAGCCTCGAGTGGCCGAGACACTAACAGGCACGAGAGAGGAGGAGAAAGTGGTTCTTAGCTCTTACTCCTCGTCGTGATATTTACCATCACGCACGCCAAATATATTCATGTGGCGCCGGTCAACATTTCAGTCCCGTACACCCGAGTGATATGGAAATCTGGACTTTATTTATTGTTAAGCGGGACAAAAACAAGCAAAATATTGCAAGAAATCTGGGTTTTCTATAATGGACACATAAAATGTATCAGTTAAATACTCACGTTTTCTTTCTGTGTAATGGAATCTCGTCAGAAGTCATTGTCTTGTTTTATTACTCCAATTTTGTTTTATAAAAGGAGGTTTTTATGAGAATTGCATTGACTTCACTCTTTGCTAGTTGGTGTATTGGATGTCCCTGGTGATTCCCACCTACCAGGTGGTATGGTGAATGTGGGGGCCACGGGTGCTTGGGGGCCAGACTGAAGCCTTTGATCTCCCTCTTGAATGCTGTGATGCTCTGCAGGATAATAGCCACTGAGTGGGACTTTTCGCCACTTGACAGTAGAGTATCAAAGCTGGGACGGCTTCCTATCCTTAGTGTTTATTCTGACAGCTTATAATGATTATTACAGGAGTGTATTTACAGAACCTTCAGGAGGAGCTCAGAGAGCTTTGGAATCCTGACATTATCCCTCCTGCTGACAGCCTTCATGAAACATCGTCGTAATTCAATAAAGGAAATTCAAGTAAAATTAAACAAAAAAAGGCCACAAATTGTTTACAATAATAGACATCTTTATTTGTATTATAGCTGTGAGTGATAAACACATTCAGAGTTCACACAGTCACTTTGCAGGAGTCCTAAAATCCCTCGTGGGCTATATGATCTGCAGCATCAAAGGGTATTTTGGGGATTACAGAAACAAAAGAGGGTTTTGAAATTGCAGACTGGTTTAAGTATACATGGATAGTGGCACTAATAATGGCATCCCGACTGTCTTTTGTCAGCGGACTGAATCACTAGGACCACAGGTCTCCACATTCCTGGACCTGCTCTTGGATACAACAAGGCACCGCAGCAGGAAAGCTCCAACACCATTCAAATGATCTCAACTGAATTTTGCATTCTTGCACTCCAATAAAAAAGGGATCGGGGTACCGTTTTATCGTCACAATTTCTATTTCTCCTCCTAAAATATACATATTTATATGTTCAAAGCCGTAATAATGACAGTGTTGTGAGTTTCATGTGCTGATCTCAAAGGGCCATTCATTCATTTATTACCATTCATAGCTAAAAATAGAATGAATGAGCCATTTCACTAAAGAAAACTAATTAAACATTCAAGGATACAGTTTTTCCTTGATTTTCCAACAAATTTAGAGCAATTTGCAGAGAACAAAAAGGGTTTTCATGTTTCCTGTCGATTTTTTCCCCCACAACCACAGTCTCTAAGTTTGGACAGAGACGTAAAGTGTCAGCCGGCATAATGAGCTTCTGTTTGTAAACACGCGCTACTTTTAGATACGTCACTCCGAACGTAGGCAGCTTGCTTGCATTCAATGTCCACAATCTTAATTTCCCCAACAATTGAAAATATGAATATTTTAGACTCTGGGCATAAAATATTTAAAGTAAAATGTGATTACCTCTACACTAGTTACCAGTGACATGCCATTAGATGAGATGTCACAGTAAGGTTTTTAAAATGCTTTTTATACAGTATGCACCATTTAAATTAAGGGAAAGATTCTCCATTTCTTTCTGTTTCCTCGTTTAAATGCAGCTCCTGTAGCTACGCAGACTATTGCATCAACTCATCAACTTAAGCAGGCCTGTTACAGTGTAATACATAATTTATTATTACTGAAGTTTGGCAGCAATCATAAAACTTGAAGATTAAGAGAAGGACGTGGAGTAATAAAGATAGAAATCAATCTCTCGGCAGTTTGCTGCAATGAAGTGCAGCTGATTATTAATCAGGAAGCCACAGTGTGTGTCAAACATTAACTTCTCTCTCATCGTTTCCTGCATGCATGCAACGCACACATGCAATCACATGCGCTCTCCGATCGCTGTGTGCATGACTAACACACACACACACGTGATCACACACTCACTCAGGCAGGAATCTGCTGCCGAGCAGAGATACGCAGAAGCGACACCGTAAATTTTTCAAAAGGATAAATCTAAAGAGTGAAAGCGATCATGTTTGAAAGAGTATATGAAGAGCACCTGGTGTACTACAGGATCATGTGTGATCAAATATTTACAGGCAACATGGGTGAACTGCACACAAGAGGCCACAGAATATCTGCTTTCAACAGAAGCCCGATGAGGAGAGCTAGAAAAACTAGAGAGTCTGGAAAACTGCCACCGTGTTCGCCCTGAGGTCAAACCCTCGTTACAGAAAATAAAACATTTCATCTAGAAGATCACACACTTTGTTGGCCGCTGTGTATCAAAGCTTTACGAAAGAGTGCCGACATTTCACAATGACCGTCGACTCTGGTCTGCAGAGGTGGAAGGCAGCAGTTGCGACGCTGGGGGAACTGGGGACGTTCAGCAGCGGTTGGCGAGTGTGAAAACCTGAGGATCCCGGCTACCTGCTGCTTCTGGCACCACCGCGGACAAAGAGAGGGCTCAACACGGTTTTTTTCCCCGTTTGATTGCAAACAATAGAGGGGATTTGAATCTACTCACGACGGCCATGGCAACCGATTTGGAGTGCCGACCATCAATTGGATTTAAAGTTCTTAAAAAAAAGTGTCAAAAATGAAAATATGACACAAATGATATGCGGGAGGTTATGTTGAGGCACAGTCAAATGAAAAACTAAATCTCTCTCAGGTTGAGCAAAGATCGAGACCAGGTTTCATAACTCAGACATCAACCGGCTTTTTGTTTGGAGTCACCGATGAGCATGAACGTAGATATTCAAGGACACAGTTTGGTCTCCCTTTCTCCCTCATTTGGCACAAGTGCAGAAAACAAAAGGCTCAGATATTCTGTTGGGTTTGTTTTCCACAGCAACATTCATTGAGGTTGCTACAATCGTTGCACTGATGACCTGCAGTTTAAAAAAAAAAAAAAAAAAGTATGAAAACAATTTTCTGTAAACTTATTAAAAGCGGTACCATGAGGTGATACATGTACAACACATCTCAGAGAAAATACTTGTTTTTAGAAGATTCACAAAAACAGAAAGAGCTCTGGCATGTTTAGCTGTAAGTTGCATTACTGTAGAAGAGCGACAGCAGATCAAGCATAAGATGCAATAAACTCCCTAAAAAAGGCATCGAATTGATTTAACGTGTTTGTGCTCCCCGGTATAAAAAACGGCATCCTGGAAGTAAAGTAAAATCGTCAAATATCTGAAAGCAAGGCATGAATGTGTTCCCTCTGAGACTGCAGCTATACGTTCCTCTACTCGATGAATAATCGATGCAGCTACACAACGTCCACGCTTTTGCAGGCGGCGCTGGCTTTACCTGCTGTTGCGCTTTCAATTATCAGAATCCATTAAGTGTGTTCAGTCACTTCTCTCTGAATAAATGGCTCGAGTATCAATGAATTTATCACAAGGGCATCCCAGCTTCCAGTAACAGGCCGCCCGCTTCCCACAAACCAACCACGTGTTGGACGTCCCCGTTCAAGAAACCGTCTCTCAGGAGATAAGAAGTCTTTAAATCCTCCGTTGCTTTCGCTCGACACCGACAAGGTCAACCCCACATCCGACCTGCAGGGGTTCCCACTGTGTCCCCCCCCCCCCCAGGTCACCGCAGGTTGATGGCCAGGGTCACTGTGAAGATGACGCCCATCAGCATCAGGAAGGGCAGCCAGGTCTTCAGAAATCCTGCACAGCTGGATGAGGCAGAGAAGACAGATGAGTGGAGGTGAAGAGCAGAAACTCATCTAATTGTTATAACCCCCCCCCTACTTTTAGTGCAATCTGAGCAAAGGGTTTAACGTTTGTTATATTGCAGGATTATTTAGGACAGGACATGTGCACATAATATTTTTTTAACCATCAATTCAAAATCGCTAGTGCCTGAGAATCTGAGCAGCATCACAAAAGACCATATTGTGATGTTTATATGAAAGTGTATCTATATTTACTTCCTACCAACAACCACTGGGATGTCTAGTCCATCCCTGTAACACTCGTCTTCAAAGGCCTTCTGGAGGAATGTCCTTTATACTCTCTTAATACTTCCCAGGAACCAGGGCTGTCCTGAGACACGACAGGTTCACGGCATACCAGTAAAATCATGGCTGAGCCCCGGGGATCACAAGCTTCAGCACTACTTCTTACGGTGGCTTTGAAGAGAACAGCTTTAGATTATAGGGTTTGGGCCTTTAAGGCAGAAAAAACACTGATATTTTTGGACAGATGATTCAAACTACCAAACTTTTTTTGGCAAAAGAAAGCAAAAGAATGCCAACGAGCAAGTGAGAACAGAAGCTCAGCCCTCAATGAAAGTCTTATTTATCCACTTGTCAACGTCAGTTTAAGCTTGCTGACAAAAGATGCAACAATGTAGTCAAATTAATCTTAGAAATGCAGTTAAATATGGTTATTGTCATCGTTTCAGGACCATTGTATATACCATTACCGCTACATGAGAACTCTAGTCGACAGTGAAGCGAGTGGTCGGACTCTGACGCATGTCATTGTGTTGGCTCTTCTCCAGCACAATGAATTTCTAGTCAAACAATGACTACAAGTTTAAAGTGCTGGCTCTTGGCATTAATTAGACGTCGTGTATGAAAGTCTCCCAACACAGAGACATGAGCAGGCGCTCTCCTGGCGATGCTCTGCCGGCCTGTGAAGCAGCCATCTTGTCTTCCTGCTCGGTTCAGGAGCTTCAGCAGGTGGAACAGCTGTTCAGTTGGACTACGATCAGGTGACGGATACGATCAGCCAAGAATGTTTCCTGCTGCAGAGACCCCGTTAACCTACTACGGTGATGTTACACCATTATTATATTTCTTGCTTGGTCGTGCACCTCTGACTTTTGTAGTACGGCAATACGGTCGTCCATGAATATGCGTTTACAGTTCATTATAATTCCCTCCTTGGCATTGTGGAAGTTGCTTTATGGCTTTTTGCCGGTTACACTCGTTGTCTTCTTGCTTCTTCACAGTGCGTTTCGTTTGTCTGCCCTATTAGAGAATAATGCAACGAACAAAGCGTTGAGCATCAATGCCTTTGTGCGTGCATGCCAGTACAACGTTACCCCGTCTTACCTGACATGTTTTCCGTGGATCAGAGCGAGGAGGCAGAGGTTGACCATGTTCCACGAGGTGCTGTTTTCATATCTCATCAGATTCAGAGCCATGGCGACATGCGAGTGACAGTTGTCCCAGCAGAGATTGTGCTTTGGAGAAAAGAGTAGAAATCATTCCTGGTGTTTTTCCCTTTCATAAAGTAAATAGAAGTCCACACGTCCCCTTACTGACCATCCTGTGCTTGTACTCCTCTGAAGCATCATGCACCGCTGTGTCCCAGGCATTGGAGCCACTGGCGTAGACTTTGCTGACGTCAAGGATCCAGTACCTACAGTCAAAGAGGACAACGGATAGTGTTATGTGGCACGGATGTCAGGAAACGGTTTGGTTCTGAACCAATATGTTCACTAAAAGACCAAATAACCACAAAAAATACTTTCATTTACTCACTTTGTTGGTTTCCCAAAACCCATGTTGTCTTCCTGCAAAAAAAAAAAAGAGAAAATGTTTGACGCTATTTAAATTTTTAAAGCAGATTAAGAGAACATTTGTGTACCAACGTCTCTTTAATTAAGCTGGGCTCATCATATGTCTTTTTATTGTACTACAATGCAAACATAGCCAGGTTTGAACCTGTGTATTTGCCAGTAAACATGTAAACCTTAAAATCAGCCCTTTGAAAGATTTTCCAATTCAAAAACATTTTGTAGTGTTCGTCCATTATTTATGAAATGGTCGACGCCAATACGTTGGTCGCAAGAGACAAAAAACAAATTGAAAGGCGTGTATTTAGCCACATTTTGGCAAAAACTGTCTGAAAATAAAGAGCAAAGAAGTGGATTATTTAGTAGGAGGGGTTTGATAAAATGAGTTTCCATTGGAAGTGACCCTCCTCTGTTGAGGAGCAAGTTGCAAACTTCTCAGAGGCTACATTCAAGCTGACGTGGTGCGAAACCTAAAACATAAGTTTATTACTCGTTAAAACAATTCAAGCTCAAACTCACCATCTTACGTGAGATTCATTGAGCTAAAGCAGAGCCACTGTGCTATATTTAATTTCACATACAGGCCATAATGAGCTGCAGCTGCGCAGTCATTACTCACTGAGACAAAGTACGGTCCAGCAAAGTCCCGGATGACACCAGTGGAAGTGCAGATCCCCATGTGGCCGATGAATGGAACCAGCCATCTGAACACAAACAAAGTTAATTTTACAACATAAAAGTGGCATAGTGGACCTGTTTATTGTTGTCCAGGCCAGGACAGTGTAAGATTCCAGTTTCATGTCCATGTCTCTTGTCTATACACACACAACAGTCCTCAGATATTCTTGTTTCGGACTCTCATACATAGACTCTGTCAGCACTTTATCAATAGATACCAGATAATGGAAGCAAAAGGTGTGTTAAAACAATCTCTACCTCCACCACCAACACCTTATACATTGAGTCCCATACGTGTTCTAGGAATATCACTTAAAATAATGATGTTGATACTTAATTAACAAGATACAAACTGTTTTAAAACAAAGTTAACTGATAAATTGCAGCATTGTAACTTTTGACGCTTTCAGGTTTATTCTTCATATTTTAAGAAACGTTAACTATGCAAACAGTGGTTGACTTACATGGTAATAATTGTCTTTTTTAATCATACTGCTAACGTTTAAACCGTCTGCTAGCTGCTGCTAGCTAACGTTTGAGCTACTGACGGTGTCACTTCGTCTCATGTCCGAAGGTTTGAGTCACAAGAAGCCGACATATAACTCACGATAGCACGGGGATAGGTGTCCACACTACGCAGTAAGGAAAGCGACCGATGTCTGAGTTAATTCTCTCAGACGCTATGTGGTAATTCTTCATGGTGTCTTTTTCTTTTTCAACAACATCCGCCATCACCAGCTGAGGAAAATTAACTTCATTTGTCTCGTTTTACAGTCGCGTTAAGTCACGGAACAACACCGGAAATTCAGGGATTTTAGCTTCAAAATAAAATTGAAGTGGTGCTAAGTAAAGAGATACGCGCATCATAAATGAATCGAATTACATATTCGGCATTATCTTAACATTTAAAAGAATCGTAGTATAAAAATGGAGATTGATATGTTACAGAATTAATAATACAATACATTGAAGGTCAATGTATGTTTTATTGTGAAAGGTACATTCGCGAGCTGTTTCTCTTATTCCTGTTTGTTGTCAGCAGGAGCAACTTCCGGGATCTATGCGAGCAATCCAAAGGAATAGATCACTGACAGTCTTGTAAAACTTTTGTCAAACAAGCCGGTTATTTTGTTTTGAACACACAGCCCTTAGAGCTAATACTATATCTCACATGTCAAGCAATTTAATTCACAACCATTTTAACTACCTTTCTTTGAAGAAACTACGCGATTTAATTGGCTGTCATATTAAAAAAAACATTAATATGTTGAAAGTGATCGGTTTGTTTTTTCTTTAATTACAAATCTGAAGATGTTTATTATGATAGTCTACCACAGAACGGTAACAAACGATGAAAGTGATACAAAATATGGGTTTACAACAGCATCATACTTATATGATCAATTATTATACAATTGTTGGAGGCAAAAACACAAAGCTCCCTGGTTCCATTTTCCTCAATGTGAGGATTTGCTGCTTTTCTTAGTTTGACATATTTGTAAAATTACTATGTTTTGGTTTTGGACTGTTGAAAGGAACAAACAAGACAATGGACATGTCATCAAGGGCTTTAGGAACTTGTGATAGACATTTATCTCCACATTCTGACATTATGTGTAACCTTTGACTAATCCAAGAAAAAAATAATTCTCTGCATATTAATCACCAATTAAAATATCATTAGTTGCATCTCTTGCTAACTAACCTTGCTGACTTTATGTGTCAAGGGTCAACTAAACCTGAGGGGTCACGGGAGGATTAAAGAAAGAAAAATAATCTGTTACACAAAAGTATGTTTATTATTTTACTGACTATTTTTCTTTTGCATCTTTTGGCTGTTATAGTGATTCGACTGAACTGCTCAGTGCCCACAACTCATTTTGTCCACACTAAGGATGTGTTTAGTATGTATTACTTAGTATAAAGGGGTTGTGAGCCAAAATGCTTGAAAACCACAAGGATAGGGAACAATTTTAAAATGACAAAAGTGAACTCTTTACTGGCCTTTCCATCACTTCAGGAGAGCGGGACGCATTCAAACTCGACGTACACATAACAACACATAAAGGTGGGTTATAGCTCATTTTGCTATAAAAGCTGGGGTTGATATTGTTCTTCAAAAAAAAATAATATTTTTTATATTTGTTGAAATTCTCATTACATCGTGACAGCAATCAAGTAATCAAATGCTCTCACCGAAAAAAGAAAAAAGTCTGGTATCTGTGGATGTCACAGGACTGTAATGAGCTTGTTCTATTGGACGGCCTACCTGCCTGTCTACCTATCTGCCTGTCTGCATGCACTGCACTGTCACTGGAGTCTTCCACAAGCTGATAACTTAACAGCTGTGAGTATCAAAAATAGCCATTTTTGTTGTTTACTTTCATTTTATGTTTATGTTCATAATCATCATTTGCTTTGGAGGGAGCCCTGGAGGGACGGGCTGTCAGTGTTGACAACTTGGTGACTTTCACTCAAGATTAAGTGACTATTGCAGCTAAAGCAGCGAGTTACGTTCATTGGAAACTAGTTGGCAACACTAAGCTGGGTTTTCCAGTTGGATCATTTTTAAAAATCCAGCGTAATCTTGCTAATTTCTCAACTCTTACTTTATGTCTCACTAAACATGATAGGGTTGCATTGTTTGACAGGTATCTTAACCATGAGAAGGGCAAAAACAATCTTATACATGAGAGAATGATAATATGATCAGCATTATAGTAATAATTCTAAAATAACATCTAACATACCAGCTGGGCTAAATCTTAATTAAAACAATTCCACTGCGTTTAGACTGAGATAAATGTCAATACTTTCACCACAAACAACTAGATTTACAGCAATCCCCAGTCACCAGGCCACATCATTTCAGGTCATCTTGAGACAGAATTTGTTTATTGTTTGGGCATATTTGAATATATTAATGTGGTTTTATTGTATACAGTATGGTATATTAAGCAACTTTCGGGAAGACTCAGTCAAAAACTTTGTGAACAATAAGTCCCAGTTTTGGGTTCAAATTGTATTCCATTGTTATCCTCCAAATTCAATCCTACCTAAGCACCTAAGCACTTTAATGGGGCTTCTGTCCGGTTTATTGCAAGAGGCCTCTATTTGATTTCACACCAGCACAAAGAGAGCTCTCCAGTATGGAGGAGGTGGAAAGCTGCAGCTATCGAAGGAGTTATCTATGGCAATGGGGGAAATGGGAAACAAAGACGAACCCAGGGGATCTGCTGGTGCCCTGTGTACTCCACACTGGGTCCCATTAGATGTGACAGTTGATGAATTGTACGAAGGGCAAAAACAAACTACTCAGCAAAAGCAGGCAGACGTTGATAAACGAAGGCACACTGGGTTCATCATCGGGGAGCGGAGGGAATTCTCCGGCAAAATGCCAACTCAATATGTGGCTGAGCCATCCAACCCAATTAGGCCAGAAGATGTGCTGCTTTAGGGCCCGTAACTTGGTGACACGCTATCCTTTTCAGTCAAAGGTTTGAAACGTAAAATGTCAAGTCTCCGCTAGTTTCCAGTTCGGTTCCCTGGACTGTGATAAGAAATAAAATGACAGTCTAATTCTACACTTTTAGAAACACATTTGAGAATGAGAAGTTATGAGAAAGGTTGTGTAAATGAGTAAAGACGGTAAAAGTTGAGATTTTTGCCCCGATTAAAGACCGCGAAAAAGGATTATTTTCATTTTAAAGCTACACAGCACTTTCCTACATAAAGCCGTGTCACTTAAAAAGCTCCCGAGAGGTGAAGTGCTTTTCATTAAAGGCCAATGAAACATCCTGAAATGTTGTGTAACTGAAAAGCACACACAAATACAACTCACATAATGAATCCCTGTTCTACAGTACACTGACGTTCAAATGTTGCATCTCCGAGGACAGGAAGGTCATGTCATAACCCAGAGTTTATGTTATGCAACACTAGATTCCCAGCTCTTCTGGAGCCCTGTAGACTTTAAGAAGACCCAAAGGCCCCGGGAAGACTTGAGTTTGTGCTTATTTGACTAGAACATAAAATGATAGGGACAAAAGAAGACGAACAACTTGTTTGATTACCTTTTATTACACCGAGGTCCTGTACTGTAGGGGCCCCTGTATGACAATCAAATTTTAAACCCAGTCCAAATATCTGTTTAATCCAATAACCACAAACTAATTTATGCATACCAGTTATATACAATCATTACAGAACAGAAACTGTGGTCGGTTTCTTGGGTTCTGAGCGAAACATAATGAAGGTGGGTACATCCACAGTGACACTAGGACGGGAGTTATGTGGGGGCCCACATCCAATTTTTGCCTGAGGGCCATCGAGCAAGTTGATCCGGCCCTGGTGCAGCCTACGTCTCAGCTTTGGTGTATACTTTAATGATTTCTACAGGCTGATTTGCCATATGTTTGAGATAAACTCTCAAAATCTGGAGGTAAGAGCATCACTGTAAAAGTTTTTCTGTTCAGAGTAACCGCAAAGCATAAATGATCACTGTTGTGGCCATTTGTAAGAAACATCCAACCCAAATTAAAGTACCACATGAATATGTGCTACACGCAGGCAGGCAAATAGTCCATCGTCCATGCAAAGTTTCAGTGTTTTTTATGATTTATTTCTCCAAAAACAAGCAAGCAAACAAAAGAACAAAGAAATCTTGGCTATCATTGCCTCTCTCACTCTGGTAAAAAAAAGACCTATACCTGCCTACCAACCTACATAACCACAGGTGGTCATAGTGTTACCCAAAACTACCAACAAAACAAAACACTAATCACACAAAAACTGAATATACTAAACAATAAAATAAATAAACTAAACAAATAACGAGCAAAAAAAAAAAACTAAACAAAGCAAACATCAAGAATAATCAAGTCAAACAAAACTACTCATCATTAATAAAACAATTAAATACATACAATACAAATAGCTACGATCACATTTGGTGGTGTCTGCTATGAACAACACGGTTACAAAAGGAAACACTGCCTCTCTGTGGATACAATGCACATGGTGTATGGGAGTCCTGCTGAGTTGTTGTATTTACACACAAAAGGGTCACCTTACTGGAAAACAGGCTGAACAAGTGATCTTTGTACGAGTCACAGGAGGCCCCTCAGGTGAAGTGAAAACAAAATACCTTTACTATTATGCCGGTGTTTACAGTATTTAATATCTTTTTTTTTAAAATTAAGTTTATTATTCTAGGTGTTTGCTTGTATGTATTTCTGCTGCAGTGGCACTGAGTGGGATCAATAAAGATGATCTCATATTGTGTTATGCACAGATACCAATATTGAATATAGGTCCAATACTGGTTTAAATTCCTGGATTGGGTATCGGTGATAATGGGGCCGATCTATTCAATTAAATTCTATTCTTATAGATACTAGAGTTGTAATTCCTGGTCAAGTTTTGACCAATTTGTTGCTCCATTTAAAAAGTTTTCACTTTAATTGTTATTCCTTTTGATTTGGAAGTTTTTTAACCAAGGTGCTGGTGTACAATATATTATTTTATTAATAAATAACAATTCAATACATTTATTTAGGGCCCGAGCACCGACATAGTCGGAGCGGAGGACCTATTGTTATTATAATGTTTATTATTATTAGAATACACATACATCGGGCGCATATTTGGGGGACTTGCCATACTTGAAAACTCACAAACTTTTGCACACTTGTCAGGCCTAGTGAATATAGCCATCTGATATAGGTTGCATATTTGATCTAATTATGTGCAAACTAAGATGCTTGGAGAGCAAAAGTTAGATAACAGT